ACCATTTCCTAGAACTTAGTAAAAAGGCAGCAGCTATTAGTTCCTCTACATCGACTCCCTCTTCTTCACCATTGGGAGGACAATGATCAATACAGATGATGTTACAACAGGAAAAGGAGAGGGAACGTGGGAAGGAAAAGGATGCGACGATGCAAATGATTTTGCAAGGAATACAAAACATACAATCAAAAATAGTGATTATTGAACACAGTTCAAAAGATTGAACAAAGAACAGAAAAAATTGAATAAAGAACAGGAAAAACTGAAGAAAAAGTGGAGAACATACAACAAATGATGAAGAAATATGAGGACAGACTTCAAAAAATCGAAGAAAAGGAAGAACAAAGAGACATAAAAATTTGATATATGGATAGCAGATTGGATGAGGTTGAATGCAATAAGAGTGGACTAGGATGGGAGATGGACAAATCAGAATTCTACTTAAGATTTCAAAACATAGAAGAAGAAAAGGGAGAAAACTTGGCAGAAAAAATGATAGAAATTTTAGCAGAAGCATTAGAAATTACTAAAGAAAAGATGATGGATGGCATAGATGAGATATTTCGAGTATATACAAGATATGCAATGAGAAATAAGCTACCAAGAGAAGTTAATATAAGATTCACCAAGAAATCAATTAAAATGCAAATATTGCAGATTACAAAAGAGAAAATACTGAAATACAAGGGCAAGGAAATTGTGGTTCTGAAACAAATACCGAGAAGAGTGAGGTAGATGAAATATCTAGGAGTTCAGGTTGCAGAATCAAATATGATTCTGATGATCAAAACTGTTTCAAAATAATTATGAGGTGTTGTGGCGAGATGTACAGAAAGATATGGAGACTTGGAAAAAACTGCAGCTGTCTTTACTTGGAAGAATAGCAGCAGTTAAGATGAACATTTTGCCAAGATTTCTTTTTTTGTTTCAAATGATTCCGGTGCTTAAAAGTGATAAACAATTGAAAGAATGGCAAAGTGGACTGAATAAGTTTGTCTGGAACGAGAAAAAACCGAGAGTGAAATTGAAAATTATGCAAGATGTTCCAGAAAGGGGAGGTCTTAAACTTCCAAACCCACAATTATATTATGAAGCAGCAGCTTTGACCCAAGCAAGTGATTGGTTTGGAAGGAAAAAGACTGGAATATTGAATATAGAAAGTTTTGATCTTGAATTTGGTTGGCATGCTTACTTATTTTATGAGAACAAAGTGGATAAAGTATTTAAAAGCCACATACTTAGAGACTCTTTGATGAGAGTTTTGAAGAAGCACCAACTCAAATGGGATTATAAAATACCGTTATGGCTGGATCTTGGTCATATCATGTGGAATACAAATATAATGTCACTCGGGGGGGGGTTATATAAAGAAGTTCTTTTTACAGATGCGGGCAGATGGCAACTGAAGACCTTAGAAATGCTGTTGGAAGAAGGGATTAATTTAACTTGGTTACAGTATAATCAACTTCAACTGAGGTGGAAAGAGGACCAAAAAACTGGTATAATGATGCATGAGGAGGACTTGGTTAGACATATAAAAGAGAAAGGTCCAATGCATATTAAAAGGCTTTATAATGTTTTGTTAGAAAGGGATTCAGAAACTGAATTGGTTAAAGATTGCATGATTAAGTGGGCACAAAATTTTGCAGAACCAGTGATGTTGGAAACATGGGAAAAAATATGGGTTCAGAATGTTAAATTTACACAGTCACAGAATTTGAGGGAAAATTTTTATAAAATGTTTTATAGATGGCACTTAGATCCTAAGAAATTGTCGTGCATGTACCCTAATGTTCAACCAAAATGCTGGAGATGTGAATGCTTAGATGCTACATATTATCATGTGTGGTGGACTTGTAAGAAAGTGAAGGCTTTTTGGATAAAAATATGGTGGGTTATGCAGAATGTTTTAAAGAAAAAAATTAAGTTTTCTCCACAATTGTTTTTATTGGGTATAGTCAAGGGTTTTACATTGGGTGAAACAAAGTTGATATTGTATATGGTGACAGCAGCGAGATTACTGATAGGTCAATATTGGAAAAATGAAGCTATGTCTACTATTGAGGAATGGACTTTGAAGATGGCCAGCTTTGCAGAGATGGTGAAGATTTCAGCATATCTAAAAGATCGCTCACAAGAGACTTATGAATGGGAGTGGAAAAAGTGGATAGATTATGTGCAGAATAAATATCAAACTAGGAAATATCAGATAGCTTTTAATTGAAAGTACTATATAAAGATAGAATATTTGAATTTTGTGAAGATGTGAAAAATATACAGGGGGTGGAGGGGTTCAAGTTTTATAAAAAGGGGATTTAGATTTGGATTATATTCTGTGGAAGTCCGGGGGGAGGGGTGGGCTAGGGGGGGTTAGGGAGGGTTGGGGGGGGGAAACTGGGGAGAAAATGTAATTGTAAAACTTTTTCAATAAAAAAAAAAGAGAGAGTGAGGGAGATGAGAAGAGAATATCAATTCCTGATGAAAATATTGCTCCAGAAAGGTGTGAACTATAGATGGCTGATACCAGAAGGCCTGGTGTTTACATGCAATTGCAAAGATTTAAAATAGACTCAACCCACCCCACCGCTGTGAGGCGAAACTGACTCATTGGTTCCACCCCAGGCGCCTGATGGACCCTGATAGGTTCCTGACGGAGCTTGGGACATTTCCCATTGACCTATCCCACGATTTGCCAGAGGCCCTGGTGGATGCCTAGGAACGGGCTGCCACCGGGGCACTGGATCGAATCGCTCCCTTGTGGCCTCTGGTCTGGAGCGGCTTGACAGGCTTTTAGGGAGCGTGCGCCCTTCGCGCCCCAGGATTTTTCCTAGGGCGTTCGGGGGGGTTCTACCTCCACCTGCCTGCTCTTCTCTCTCCCCTTTGCCCGGGGAGAGAATTTCAAGCCTCCAGACAGCGTTTGTCGGCTGTTCTGGGGCTTTAACGGAGCCAGGGAGCAGACGCTCTCAAAAGAACGTCTTTCGAGGCTCGCGGAGCCAGCGGAAGTCCAAGAGACTGATTTATTTTAAGTGCGGTCTGTATAGTTATTTTATTATTAATTATACTGATATTTTCACAGGTAACATTTTATTTATTTTTTTAAAAAAATTTATTGAGTAGACAATATATTACAATTCAATCTTTTCGGTTTGGCAACGTGTAGTCATACTATATGCTTATAAATGTGGTAACTAGTAGATTATATAAATGATTTACAATTAAAACATAGGATATTTGTGAAATTAATACATTATAAATTATAATATAATGATACATAAGTTAAGTTGGTAGTTAAGCGTTGTCCCCCTTAGTAGTTAACTTTTGCATTTACTTTCCAACCACCTATACCACAAATCCCATACCGTATAAAACTCTGAATCCTCCTTCTCATTTAATACATATGTTAATCTGCACATTTCTGCACATTCCAATATTTTATTGACTATGTGTTCCTCAGTTGGACAACTTTTCTCCTTCCAATGTTGTGCATAGGAAAGTCTCGCAGCTGTAACGATGTGGATAATTAAATATTTCTTCTTCTTCCCATATGCTCGTTTTAGTACTCCCAGGAGATAAATTTCTGGTAGGAAGTTAATATCCTCCTCTATTATTTCTTGGATCCATTTTTGTATCACTTTCCAGAATTTCCTCGCTTCAGGACACATCCACCACATATGGTAGAAGGTATCTTGCCAATGACCGCATTTCCAACACTTGGGGTTTTCACAGATAACATTTTAAGCTACCATCATAGATTACATTTTTATGCAAATTAAGCTTTTTGAAATTAATTCATGCAGGATAATAGATACAATAAATCACAATGTGAATAGTTGGCATAGGCTCCAAAAGTCTGAGACAAAGATCAAGATCATATAGTACACCAGCCGCTTCTTTTTTTTTCCTGCCTGTTTCCTAAAATTTCAAAAGCACAAGAGCTACCAAACCCTGATAGGGCAAGCAGGCTGCATTCATCTTATTGGGACAGAAATTGTGTATCAGATCCTTGCAATCCCAATCCTCGCTAGATTGGGAGATATGTTGTTCGTATCACAATCATAGTATTTTAAATAATATTAGTATTAATTAGAGAACCCTAATTGTCATAACAAAAGGAGTGTTGGTCCGACCTGATACGATCCTTCTCATTGATTGTAGGCAGCATCCAGGAATGGGTTGTCCTCGTCTGTCAGCCAATAAGACCGAGTCTGTCAAAGCTGTAAGACACTCCCTCTGCCAACAGTCTCCAGCTTTTAGTGAAGGTTAAGGGACAGACTCAACGTGGTCAAAAAAACATACAAATATATACAAAGACATGCGGATCTAGGGCCAGCCCTACACTAGGGTGGGACTGGATGCTGCCTACAATCAACGATAAGGATCGTATCAGGTAGGACCAACGCTCCTTCTCCATCGTATTGTAGGCAGCATCCATGAATGGGACATACCAAAGCGGTCGTGTCCTTAAGGGTGGGCTCAGGCTTGGCCCGAGGTCCCCTCACCTGATGTACTCTCTGTAGCACCCTCCTACAAAAGGCTGCCTTAGCAGAGGCATAAGTGTCCAACTTATAGTTCCTAATAAAGGGCGACGGAAAGGACCAGGTGGCAGCCCTGCAGACCTCCTCCAGAGATGCATGAGTGGCCCATGCAACACTTGTGGCCGCACTCCAGGTGGAGTGTGCCGTAATATTTTTGGGCAATGGAAGGGCCTGCACGTGGTATGCCTTGGCGATACACGCCCGGATCCATCGGCCCAGGGTCGAGGGAGTGACCTTAGCCCCTAAGGTAGCCGGTTGGAAGGAAACGAAGAGCGACTCCGTCCTCCTGAATGAGGAGGTCCGCTTAATGTATATTCGGAGAGCTCGTCTAACATTTAGTGTATGCCACTTTCTCTCCAGGGGATGCCCTGGCCTGGGGCAGAAATCTGGAAGGATTAGCTCTTGGGCCCTGTGAAACCACGTATTCACTTTCGGGACAAAGGTAGGGTCCAAATGTAACACCACCTGGTTAGGGTGAAACACACAGAGGTCCGTCTGATGGAAAGCGCCGCCATCTCGGAGATCCGCCTGGCTGAGGTGATGGCCACCAGGAATGCCACCTTGCAGGTCAAGAAGCACAGATTCGCCTCCCACAGTGGTTCGAACAGACCTCCGGTCAGCACCTGCAGAACGGTGTTGAGGTCCCAAGTTGAAACAATGAACCACTGGCGGTCGCAGGTTCATTGCGCCCCTGATGAACTTGCGGACAGAAGGGTGTTGAGCTAGAGACTCCAACCTACCGCAAGTCAGCACTGAAGACAATGCGGCCATCTGTCGCCTGATGGAATTGGGCGAAATATCCATGTTAAGCCTCACCTGTAAAAAATTCAGTATCTGGGGCACAGTCACCTCAGTTGGAATCAGGCCAGATTGAGAACACCAGGAACAGAAGGCCTTCCAGGTGGCATCATAAATCCTGTTTGTGGACGGCCGCCTGGCAGCCTGCATGATGGCAATTACCTCGGAGGAGTAGTTGTCCTGGATCAGAGCGCTCCACTCAAGCACCAGGCGGTCAACTGGAGCCACTGAGGGTCCAGGTGGACCAGTGCCCCCTGGCTGAGGGAGATTCTGCTCAATGGAATCCTCCAAGGTTGTCCACCGATAGGGCCACCAGGTCGGCAAACCAAGGGCGGCGAGGCCAGTGCGGGGCCAAAAGTAGGACTTCTGCTCATTCCGCTAGAATTTTCCGTACCACCCTGGGAATGAGGGGCAGTGGAGGAAATGCATACAGGAACTCTGGTGGCCAGGTGCTCCGGAGCGCATCGACACATTCCTCCCCCGGAACTGCAAACCTGGTGAAATATCTCGGCAGCTGGGCGTTGTCCGGAGTCACGAACAGGTCCACGGTCGGGCGGCCGAATCACTCCACCAGTGCCTGAAACAAATTCGGATGCAGTCACCACTCTGCATGGTCAATTGTGGCCCTGCTGAGCCAATCTTGCCTGTACATTATCAGACTCTGTGATATGCTCCGCCCTCAGGGAGATGTGCAGCTGCTCTGCCCAACCACAAAGTCTTTCCACTTCTCTCATCAGGGTGTCCTGAAAGCGCTGGAGAGCCAGATGAATTGCCCTAAGCTCCAGCCAATTTATATTATGTGTCAAATCATCCTGAGACCACTGGCCCTGTGTGACGCTACCTAGGCTGGCATCTGTTGTAACTAACTATCACTGACTCTGGTTCCTTAAAAAGGCAACCTCTGGAAAGTGCATCCAACTCCCACCACAGTATTTATTTATTTTATTCAATTTGTGAATAAATTGGACTCAGTGGACTCAGGGCAGTGAACAGCGAAAACTAAAACATATACCAATACAAAATTTAAAATTATTAAAAGAATTACATGACTTTGACCCACATTTAAAACAATTCAAACTAAAACCCATTGACAATTTAAAAAGCTAAAAAACTAAAAAAGACTAAAAAGGGGGGGGGGGTTCATGCAAGCCCTGCTTGATGGAAAAGAAAAGTTTTTAGGGTGCGGCGAAAGACCTGGAGATCTGATATCCTTCGTATCTCCGGGGCAAATCGTTCCAGCGGGCAGGAGCTGCCACAGAGAAGGCCCTCCCCCTGGGGGTTGCCAGCCGACATTGCCTGGCTTACGGCACCCTGAGGAGTCCCTCTCTGTGGGAGCGTACTGGTCGGTGGGAGGCTATTGGCGGCAGAAGGCGGTCCCGCAAATATCCAGGTCCTATGTCATGGAGCGCTTTAAAGATGGTGACCAACACCTTGAAGCGCACCCGGAAGACCACTGGAAGCCAATGCAGCTCACGCAGGAGAGGTGTCACATGGGAGCGCCCCCTCGCTCCCATAATCCCCCGCGCGGCAGCATTCTGCACCAGTTGGAGCCTCCGGGTGCCCCTCAAGGGGAGCCCCATGTAGAGAGCATTGCAGTAGTCCAGGCGGGAAGTGACGAGTGCCTGAGTGACTGTGTGTAAGGAGTCCCGATCCAGAAAGGTACGCAACTGGTGAATCAGGCGAACGTGATAAAAAGCCCCCCTGGCCACGGCCATCATATGCTCTTCTAAAGACAGCCGTGCATCCAGGAGAATGCCCAAGTTGAGAGCCCTGTCCGTGGGGGCCAATAACTCGCCCCCAATAGCCAGTGATGGCACCAGCTGGCTATATCGAGACACCGGAAGCCACAGCCACTCGGTCTTGGAAGGGTTGAGTCAAAGCCTGTTACTCCCCATCCAGATCCGCACGGCCTCCAGGCACCGGGACATCACTTCAAGGGCATCGTTGGGATGGCCTGGGGTAGAGATGTACAGCTGAGTATCATCAGCGTACTGATGGAACTCCACCCCAAAGCCACGGATGATCTCACCCAGCGCCTTCACATAAATGTTGAACAGATGGGGTGACAGGACCGACCCCTGAGGCATCCCACAAACAAGGCGCCTTGGGGTCGACCTCTGCCCCCCTGCCAACACCGACTGCGACCGGTCGGAGAGATAGGAGAACCACCGCAAAATGGTGCCCCCCATCCCCAGCCCCTCCAACCAGCGCAGCAAGATACCATCGTCGATGGTATCAAAAGCCGCTGAGAGATCTAACAGAACCAGGATAGAGGAGCAACCCCTATCCCGAGCCCTCCAGAGATCATCCACCAACGCGACCAATGCCGTTTCCGTGCTGTGCCTAGGCCTGAAGCCAGACTGGAGCGGATCCAGATAGACAGCTTCATCCAAGTACCCAGGAAGCTGTCGCACCACCATACTCTCAACAACATTCGCCAAGAAGGGAAGGTTGGAGACCGGACGGTAGTTAGCCAAAACAGCCAGATCCAGAGCAGGTTCTTGAGGAGGGGCCTCACCACCGCCTCTTTCATGGCGGATAGCAAGACACCCAATGCAGTAGGAATGAAGAACTTCTCGGGAGAGTCTGACCGTAAGAGGTAAGGTACTCCTGCCTGATCTCTGATACAGGAAAAGGAACCATTGGAGGGCCCTAGAATGGAAACGTGCCCAAGGCACGATGGAGATGCAAGATACCATCTTTCCCAGAAGCTGCAAAAGACTGGAAAGAGAAGCGAACTGACTACTCCGGACCCCACTTATCAGGTCCCTAATGCTTGCTTGCCTCTCCTGAGAAAGATATACCCTGCACTCCAAGGTGTCTATCTCCACTCCCAAATGCAACAACCAATTAGTCGGTTTAAAATGACTCTTGTTGACATTAATCGAAAACCCATGATCCTGGAGCATTTGCATAGTTACTTCTAGGTCCCTATGAGCCTGGGACTCTGAGGTTGATTGAATCAAAATATTGTCCAGGTAGCATTGGAGGCGCATAGGGATAGCCCGGATGTGCGCTGCCAATGCAGCAAGTAATTTGGTAAAAGCCCGAGGTGCGGAAGACAGGCCAAAGGGCAGGGCCCTATACTGATAATGATGGGATCTATAACAGAAACGCAAATATTGTCTATGATCTGGATAGATGGGGACGTGAAGATAAGCCTCAGTGAGGTCAATAGAAGTGAGGAAGTCGCCCTGACACTGTCCAAAATGGACTGAAGCAAATGCATCTTAAAGCGCTTGTACACAATACAGCGATTAAGTCTCTTAAGGTCCAAGATAGCCCAATACCTACCCCCCCATGCTCTGGGAATCACAAAAGAATGGAATAAAATCCGAAACCACACTGGGCCTCTGGCACTGGCTCAATCACCTGGATATCCAATAGGTGTTGGATAGCCGTGTCCATGAGGTCCTGCTTAATGCTGTTCCAAGGCAGGGCAGTTAATGAAAAACCCCGGGGGTGTGAAGAGGAACTCTAAAAAGAGGCCCGACCGGACCGTCTCCAGGACCCATGTATCCGTGGTTATGCTCTCCCATTGCCCGGCAAACAATGCCAGGCATCCCCCAATGGGAGAGCCAGAAAAGGAATTAGCGTTGGCGTCTGAAAGGAAAGGGCGCTGAGACTGAATACTCCAGGGCTGCTTGCAACTTGTTCAAGTCCTGGTGGGCCCTGGTGTCTCCCAACGGGATCCGGTTCTGCAGCTGTTTCAGCCATATGAGGGATGCCCTATTAAAATAAGAAGCAGATGTGGCCGCCTTAATGCCTAGGCAGCTGACTGGTGCGTCCTCTTGATTGCCTGCTCCGATTTCCTATCCTCGGGCCTGAGACCTTCCTCAGGGGCCTCAGGAATGACTGTGTGTGAAGTCAAAGCTGCCACAGGAGCATCTATTGATGGTAATGAGAGAGTATGAGATAAGTAATTCTCAACATTATACAGCCGCTTATCCAGTGAACCCGGGTTAGGCCCAATGGCAGGAGCGGGCCACTGGCGTTTAACAACATCCAGAAATAAGAGAGGGGATGGCACCACCTCTGTGACATTAACTGGCTCAGAAAACAAGGAGCCGGAGGCTGTAGAAGGTCCTCGAACAGGTTCCCTAGAAGCTGGAACAAAGGGCATGTTAGTGGCCTTCTTCGTCTTGATTTAAGCAGAGCAAGCTTAAAAAGACCAGAGAACGCTGGCTGTTCAAGCAGCTGTTCCTCATCCTCAGAGAAATCCAAGTCTCTGCCCGCCTCCTCACCAGAAACAGAAGAATGACGAGACCTATAAGGAGAGCCATAGTCCTGCAATAAAACAGAGCCCCCCCCCGCCTCAAAGGAATCCATGTGTGCAGTACACTGACATTTGCCAGCAGAGTGTAAATAAATAGGCTGTGGTTACTTGCTGCCTGCTAGCAGCTAAGGCTCTGGTAACAGCTGCAGAAATAATGTCCTCCATGTTGGGAGGAAACTGTTTTACCCGCATATCAGGGATCATTTGTCTACTGGGATTCTCTGTATTAGCCAGTCTAAGCCTGACAGGCTGTTGCCAGACAGAATTAGCTTGAGCTGAGGACAGAGGAGCTTCACTATTGTAGGTAAATCTGTCTCTATTTGCTCGCTGGTGACCAATGTAATACAAGCTGGCTTTCAAATTCCTCTTGCAGGTCCACAGACTGTGAGGAAAAAAGGCGGGAATAGTTTCCCTCTCCAGAGGTTGCTGAGGGACCTAGTGGAGGGAATCAGCTCTCTTTAAGGCTTTGGCGATCTCTCAATCGCCTTAGCTGTTCTTACCACCTATAATTCCAAAGCCTTGGAGGGCTTTCTGGAGCTGCTCTGGCATTTATCAGTCTTTGCCAGGGCTTTCCTGCCTGGCGGCCTCTGTCCCAATGCCCCAGCTGATCTGGTCTCCTCAGGGGCCAAGGGAGCCGGAGCTATGACAGCCGCAATGCTCTCTGAGTGACTGACAGCAAGCGCGGCTTCTTCGGCCATTTTAAATTGCAACCCGGCCAAAAATCGCTCTGCTGCAATCAGCGCGGCAAATTAAGCAGCCTTGCACTGTCAAGGGAAGTATGCTTGAAATCAAACAGGGACTCTTAAGCCTTCCCCTCCTCAGTAAAGGCGAAGGCAGGGTTATTTGGGCAGCTGCCCAGCGATGGACTCACAATAACCACGCTCCGGTCACTCCTTCGGCTGTCAGATCTGTCAAAGCCGGAAAATACCCAAGGCGCACCGAGCAGGAGACCAGTGCAGCCCAATTTATTTATTTATTTATTTATTTATTTTATTAAATTTTTATACCGCCCTTCTCCTGCTGGATTCAGCACGGTGAACAGCCAAAAATAAAAACATCACATACAAAATTTAAAATTTTTAAAAGAATTAAACAAATTTTGGCCCAATAAATTTAGAACACCCCAACTAAAATCAATTTACAGTTTAAAATATCTAAAAATATCTAAGGGGGATTTTTAAAAAAAAATTAAAAAAAATCTTTATTTACATTTTTTGTTAAAAAACATAGAAACAACACATCATAAAAAGATAACGCACAGAAAACAAAACAACAATAAACATACATACTTCCTTGCTTCT